AGAGTAGAAGTGTGCTCCATAGGGTTTTCAATGGCTGATTTTTCAGAAGTAGATCACCAGGCCTTTCTTCCGAGGTGCCTCTGGGTGGACTTGAACCTCCAACCTTTTGGTTAGCAGCCAAGTGCTTTAACTGTTGGCACCACTCAGGGATCCCTGGGTCTACCTGTATCCCATCCTTGTCCTCTGCCACCCCAGCGAGCCTTAGCATAGGCCTTCTCCATCCTGGGAGACCCTTTCCCCCATCTCTTTATAAAACATCCCACTTCTTCCTTCTACATCCTCCTCAAATACACCGCCTTCAAGAGGAGTTGTAGATAAAAGCCATTCCCCAGCTGGCCCGAGCTTAACCCACAGAGTTTATTCAACTGGAGTGTCCCAGGTCCACTCCCTGCCCTCCAGGTCCACAGGGAGGTAGATGGTGTGTCTGGGTCTGGGTAGTGTAGGCCTATGTGAGGCTGGGGCTCTGAGTTGATGGACTCGTCCCCGGCCTGAGAGAGGCAACAAAGGGGCTGATCATTGCTCTGCACAGTTATGCTGAATTGTTTCAGGGGGGCCATAGCCATTCATGGAGGTGTTTAGCTTGAAATCCAGCACCACCAGTACCACATCCCACAGTCCCTAAGTACCTAGTACCACCCTGGTCAAGAGCTGGATCCTTCTGTCCTGTTCTCTCTGCCCTCGTTGTGCCTGTAGTCTGGTCCCTCAGCCTGCTGGCCTGGAGACTGATGACTGTGGGGACCCAGTGAGGTGTCAATGCCCAGGGCCAGCCAGGTGACATCGGTGCATCCAGCCCACGTTACCTTCCAACAGGTAGTTCTTGCCCTTAGGTTTGGCTGTTTTCCTTTCTATCGACCTGGACACAGCTTGGCCTGGTCAGGATTGGCAGCCCAGCTGTATCATGCCCATGGCTCAGCCCCTCCCCCAGGCTCCCACACAGGCTCCCAGGCCTCCGTGGCTGGATCTGCTGGCCTTGGACACCGTCACAGATGAGGGAACTGGAGTTGGGAACAGGCTCGTGAGCCTAGGGCAGCACAGGGTTCAGAGGCCTGGGCCTAGGCTTGGAGAACTGTCTGCTTCTCCCACACACTCAGGTTCCCATCCCTGCATGTCTGCCTGGCTTTTTGCCAGGGCTACTTCCCTCCCTGGCTGGGAACCTAGTATAGGATGCCTGAAGGTCCTCCCAGGTTGGCGTGCCCCAAGGCCCACCCTCAGGCAGGTGGTTATCTCAGTACAAGTTCCCACTCCGGCCTGTCACCTCTAATTTAGGGTAGGGAGGGTGTGGCAGACACTTTGCAGGTCACCTTCAGCAGCCAGGAGTAGAGGACAAGGGTAGGAGGGCTGGGAGGAGGTGCCTCCATGTGACAGCCGACTCAGTAAACATAGAGCACGGTGGTGCTGACTTGGGCTTAGGTGGCCAGACTTCTCTCTGGTTCCAATGGTTCTGGCCTGGACTGGAAACAGTACCACACTCCCTGAATTCTCCACCCTTACTCCATCCCAACAGGGCCCCTGGGACTTGACCTTCCCTTGAAAGGCAGCTGTTGACTTGGGCATGGCAGTCCCTAAGGGCTAACCTGTTGTGTGCCTTAGGGAGCTGTCAGGCTAGTGACTGCCGCCGTGGGAGATGTGCCCTGACCCAGTTGTCTCAGCCCCTCCTGTTGTCCCCTCCAGCCTCACTGCCTGGTAACCTCCTCTGCCCACGGGTGCTGGTGGTTCCTGGGAGCATCTGCCCATGGCTGGGGTGGCAGAGGTGGGGGGTGTCACTCTGCTGCCGCCATTGCAACTGATGATGCCTCTCATTGAGTGTAGGGAGCAGGCCAGGACACGCCTGAGGCTGCGATGTGCTTGCTTTGGCTTAACCCTGTGTGGGAGGCAGGAGGCCGAGGTTTTGAAACCTGTCCTGGGGGACTCAGCCCAGATGAGGGTGGGCTGTGGAGGAGAAGGACCTAGCGTAGCTGCTGACTTTTGCCCTCCAGATCAGGAATCAAGACTCTGCCCTCTCCAAATCCAAGCCCTGTTCTTGACATGGGCCTGAAGCACTGGGTTCTAGTTTCCTGTCTTGGGAGCCCAGAAGGAGGCCGTTCAGGACAAGTAATTCCTGTTGGGTGGCTCCTCTGCCGAGCTGTGCTCTCCAGAAAGGAAGAAGTAGGGAGACATTAATAATTAGTTAGTAGCCGAAAAGTATTTTGAATTCAAGAGAAAAACACACGTATCCACACAAAGCAAAAAAAAACAAAAAAACAAAAACCACACACACACAACCCACAATCTCCAAACAAAGGCTTTTCGATTTGGGAAAGTAATTATGGCAGTTAAGAGTAATTAGCCAGTCCTCTGCGGGAGCAGAGAGCACTCAGGTGTTGTACTGCTTTCATTTACTGCTGTGAAGCTGATGAGAGAGCTCCCAGCATCCCTCTGTCCTGCAACAGGTGCTCAGTGAGCTTCTGTTGATTGACAGGGCCAGCCTTTAGCCATGCTGTCTAATAGAATTTCTGTGATGATCACAATGTTCTATATCTGTACTGTCCAATATGGTAGCCACTAGCCCCACGTGGCTATTGAGCACTTGAAATGTGCCTAGTGTAACTGAGAGACTGAATTTAAAATTTTTAATTAACCACGTGCAGCTAGTGGCTCTCAAGTTGGACAACAGAACTTAGACAATGACCTCTCTAGTTACTCATCAGCCTGGGCGTCCTGCTGCTGCTGTCAGGGAGAGCCATGCTGGGCCAAGGGCCACAGGAGGTAGAGTAAGGGCTAGGCGGGGCCGTGTGGCCAGCGACTGAGACAGTGAGCAGCCCTCAGGAACCACTTGTGTTTGGCTGGCTGACAGGTGTGCCCCACCCACCCCCTACCTTTGCAAAGCAGGGTTTCTCCAGACTCCTCTCTTTACATTATCCCCTTTTTGGCTTATAAAACCCTAATCTGTTTGTTTTTAGAAGGATTAGGGATGATGGCAATGATGCCTTTCTTCCCAGCTAATATATTCAACACACATGCCTCTAAAGTCTGGTCGTATCACTGGGCCATGATGGGAACAGTTGCACAATTTCTGCAGCTTTACATCTGAAAAGAATAAAATTCTCTGAATTTTATAAAAGATCGGAAGCAGGGAGCCAGGATCCAGTAAGATGGTGTCTCTTCAATTGAACCCCAAAGCAAAGGGTAGTTGTGAGCCAGGCAAAACATGGGCTGGCTGGTCACTAGGAGTCAAGTCCAGCTCTATGCACAGTATGCCTCAGAAGGTTTAAGACGTGCTCTCGATAAAATCTTTCATTTAAGTTGTAGAGCAGAGGTTGGCAAACTTTTCTGTAAAGGGCCAGAGAGTAAATAATTTAGGCTTCTTGTTCAATCACTCAACTCTGCATTATAGTATGAAAGTAGCTAGACATTATGTAAACAAATAAGCGTAGCTGTGTTCCAACAAAACTTTATTTATAAATACAGCTGGTAAACTGGATTTGGCTCACAGACCATAGCTTGCCAACCCCTGTGGTAGAGGATTCCAAAATAGCTGGAATTATTTACTTTTCTTAGAATTTTCTGGGTAATGACCTAACGCATTAGATGCTAGCTAACAAGTGAACTGGTAAAAGGTAGTGATTAAGAGTACAGACTCAAGAGTCACACTGTCTGGATGTGAATTCTGACTCAACCACTTTTTGACTGATTGGCCTAGGCCAAGTTACTCAACTCCTCTGAGCCTTGATTTCCTCAACTGTAAATAAAACCAAACCACTTGCCGTTGAGTTGATTCCGACTCATGGCAACTTCATCTGTGTCAGAGTAGAACTGCGCTCCACAGGGTTTTCAATGGTTGTGATCTTTTGGAAGCAGATTGCCAGGCCTTTCTTCTGAGGTGCCTCTGGGTGGATTTGAACAGCCAGTGTTTCAGTTGTTAGCTGAGCACTTAACCACTTGTGCCACCCAGGGACTCCCATGATTAATTTCCCTCTTCTTTGTTCTCAAACACAGTTGAAAACGCTTTGTGAATTCCATCAGGTCACCTCAGGCTCATTCTCAAAATCTGAAAGGTGATGGCAAAAATCGGTTTCCCTCTGATTCCCTGGGTAATAGCAGCTGCTGCTGTACCATGCAGAAAGGCCACTCTGTTTCCTTCAAGGGATTTGCAGTACCACCAGCTGAAGAGCCTTCCTTAGGACTGGACCTCCAGATCCTAACGTGAATCAAGTGCTCATAGTCCCACAGCTCAAATTTCCTTCTCACAGTGCTTTTATTCCTGGTAACACATGAGAGCTTAGATTTGGGATCCTTGAGTTGAGTTGTATTCGTGATGTCAGAAGACTGCAGAACAGTTAGCAAAATTATTTTCATCCCTAAAGCCTCAAAAAATGGATTTTTCCCTTTCCCTTCCACTGCCAGGAAGCCCTGTCAGAGGAAGCCCTGGCTTCTTTTGACAAATGGGGAAACTGAGGCCCAGAGCAGAGACATGGCTTTTTCAAGATTGTATAGCTAGGGCCGTGGTCAGAATTAAAATCCAGGTTTCTTATCTCCTAGCCCCTGATTTTTTTTATGTTTTTCTACTTCGAAGTAATAAATTCACACCCAGTATAGTATTTAGCACACAGTGGGCATTTCCTTGGAGGCCGATGGCGCAGTGGTTAAGAACTTCGCTGCTAACCAAAACGTTAGGCAGCTCGAATCCACCAGCTGCTGCTTGGAAACCAGATTGGGCAGTTCCACTCGGTCCTACAGTGTCCCTATGAGTCCGAATTGACTCGATGGCAACAGAGGGCATTTCCTTATGAAGGGGTGCTGTCCTAGGGAAGGAGAGATCAGGCCAGGGGTGCTCGGTACTGCTGGCTACCCAGGCCCGTGCAGTGGCTTCTCTCACCTACTTCTCTCTCCTTTGGCTTCCCAGAGCTCAGTGTCTCTGATGACAGTTCCCTGTCAGATGGGCTGCTGCTAGAGGAGGGTGAGTAGAGCTGTTTGAGGAGGTTTGTCAGGGCTGGGCACCTACCGCAAGGTCTTGAGAATTCAAATGGGGAGTGAAGATTTGGTAGAGAGCTGGTGAAGGCAGCTGCGGTCGGCGCTGGCATCTCAGCCATGTACACGTGTTCAGTTGAGGGTGGGAATATACTGACCCCTTTCCCATTCTAAAAGGTAAATAATTTTGATGTCAGGGAAAGGTGAATTCCGGCAGAGCCTATCGGCCCCAGATATCCCTGCCTTCGCCCTGGAGCCTCCTCCCTGGGCTTTATTCCACGATGTACCTGTGATCTGGCCACAGTGACTGCCCTCCAGAGTCTGGCTTTTTGAAGAGAGGGTGGCATTAGGGGAGGAAACACAAGTCCAGAGATTAAGAACAGGTTTGCAAACTCTGAAATGGGCCAAGAAGGTGGCACAATTTGCCTGTGGGAGTGCCCAGGCCAATAAGGAAATAGGGCACATGGGCATGGCAAGAACAAGAAAAATGGGTAAACAGAAGGCTAGCTGCAGACATGGGCACCAGGGGTAGAGTTTAGGGTGGAGTCAGGCAAGTCAAGAAGAGTCAGTCTGGGGAGGCTTCTTGACGGAGGCAGCTGTAAACAGCGCTGTGAGGAAGCCCCCTTTAAAGGAGAAGAACATTTTTTTTTTCTTTTATTGTTGTTCTTTAAGTGAAAGTTTACAATTCAAGTTAGTCTCCCATACAAAAATTTATCCATACATTGTTATGTGACCCTAACTGCTCTCCCTATACTGTGACAGCACACTCCTCCTTTCCACCACTGATTCCCCATGTCCATTCAACCAGCTCCTGACCCTCTCTGCCTTCCCATCTCACCTCCGGACAGGAGCTTCCCATTTAGTCACATGGATCTACTTGAGCTAAGAAGCACACTCCTCAAGACTATCGCTTTATCTCCCATAGTCCAGTCTAATCTTTGTCCAAAGAGTTGGCCTCCAGAATGGTCTCAGCTCTGGGCCAACAGAGAGTCCGGGGCCCATGCTTTCTGGGGTTCCTCCGGTCTCAGTCAGACCATTAAGTCTGAATTTTTACTAGAATTTGAGTTCTGTACTCTACTTTTCTCCCGCTCCATCAGGGACTCTGTTGTGTTCCCTGTCAGGGAAGTCATTGGTGGTAGCCGGGCACCATCTAGTTCTTCTGGTCTCAGGCTGATGGAGTCTCTCTGGTTTATGTGGCCCTTTCTGTCTCTTGGGCTGATGCTTTCCTTGTGACTTTGGTGTTCTTTAGTCTCCTTTACTCCAGGTGGGTTGGGACCAACTGCTGCATCTTAGATGGCTGCTTGCTAGCTTTTAAGACCCCAGACACCACTCACCAAAGTAGGATGCAGAACATTTTCTTAATAAACTTTGTTATCCCAATTGACCTAGATGTCCCCTGAAAGCATGGTCCCCAGACCCCCACCCCTGCTACTCTGTCCCTCTAAGTGTTTGGTTGTATTCAGAAAACAGAAAATATTTGTGAGCATTGGGGGCTGGAGCCCTGGCCTGCAGTAGTGGGATAAGTCAGCCGTGGGAAGGAGGGCAAGTGAGAGGGCGGGCAAGGCCCGAGCTGCAGAGGTTCTTGCTGGGCCGGTTCCCCTAGCTGCTGCCCTCACCAGCCTCCTCTTACACCTGCAGAGGAATCCCAAGCACCGAAACCTCCCGCAGAGTCTCCAGCCCTGCCTTCCCGGCCTCTCCCACCCCAGAACCTCGAGGGGCTGCAGCCGACTGGACCTGAGACTGCGGGGACCCTGGAGCGAGCCCCCATCCAGAACAGCCCCTGGAAGGAGACCAGCCTGGATTACCCTTACGAGAAGCCCAGAAAGTCTTCTGAGCCCAATAGCGAGTCTAGGTCAGGGTGGGAGGAAGGGAGGGTGGGCACAGGTGGGAACTGTGCTGGGGGTGGCCTTGGGCTAAGCAGATGGAAGAGGAGAAAGGCGTGGGAAACCACCCCTCTCCTTTGCTGTATGATGGTGTGTCAAGTTAGCAGCTCCCACGGGTGCTGGCAATTTGCAGCACTAACTTTGGTGCCCCCTTTCACTGAGTCCCTGTTCCTCTGAATACCCTGAAGGGAGGCATTCCTGCCGCTGACCCAGCCCCAATCTCTCTGCAGCAGCCCAGCCACCACACCGCAGGATGGGCCCAGCATGTCCAGCCTGTGGCTGCCGGAGCTGGCCTCCTTCTGTGTGGTTCCCATCCGCAGTGTTCCTGGCCAGCGGCAGGGCCGTACCAGTGCCCCAGCCACCCCCGAGATGCAGGGGAGAAGGGGCCAGTCTCAGTCTCTAAGGTAAGAGATGGCCCCCCTCAGAGATGTGGGGGCAGGGAAGGGACCCACCATCCAGAGCTTACAATGGAGGGTGGTGGCTTCTAGGAGCAGGTAGGACTCCCCATGGTGACACATGGCTAGTGCCCTGGCTTTTCCTTAGAATATCTTCTTGGAGCACCTCTCCATAGATGTGAGGCCAAAGGCAAGTCATTTGCGAAGCAAGTCATTTTCTTCCAAAGACTCCAGTTTGGATTTTTTTTGCATAACTTGATTCAAATTTTCTACCCTTGCCATGTTCTCTTGTGGTGGCAGACATTTTTGCTATTGTTTTATTGTTGGTCACTGAGAATGGATGATTCACTTTTTCAATTGATGTATTGATTTAAGTACCACGTCACCTTCAACTTGGTAATAATTAAGTGACTGAGTCATGTCAGGCAGTGTTAACCACAGCACACGGAGCCCCGGGCACTAGCGAGACACCGCTGGGGTCTTCTGTCGGCTTAAATTCACTTGTCAGGCAGCATTGGACTGAGCAAGGACTTTTATACTTTACGTACCAGGCCCACCTTGATAGCACAAACAGTGGCTTTGTGCAAATTAGAAAACGGCACCCCCTGTAGGCAAGTACACCCCATAGCAGGAGGACTAGGAGAGTGAGGCTGCATTTCAGCCCTTGTGGATGGCCAACCTGCATGAAGCTGCCCTGGGTACCACATACAGCTTTTATGCAGTCAAGTTAAATACCTGACCATATCTACCCAAACAGATTCTGCCCATGAAATGCCACTGAACACGGTGTGCCTAAAATGGCTAGAAAGACATGACGTTTACTTAGCCTACTTTATACAAACAACATGTGTGTGAGTGAAACAGTGATACCATTTTCATGCCGTGATACCAGTACCAGTTGAGTTGACTCTGACTCATGCTGACCCCATGTGTGTCAGAGTAGAACTGTGCTCCCAAGAGTTTCCAATGGCTGATTTTTTGGAAGTAGATCGCCAGGCCTTTCTTCCAAGGCACCTCAGGGTGGACTCGAACCTCCAACCTTTCAGTTAGCAGCCGCTCTCTGCACCACCCAGAGACTCCATGCAGTGTTGGAATGTGCTGAAGCCCTGCATTAGACCAAAAAAGTGTTTGTTTTGGGGAGGTGTGCCTTAAGGTCCACGTATGTGTACCATACCCTGGTCTCCTCTTGCCTTACCTGTTTAACGCCATTCCCTCCAAGGGCTGAGCGTTGCCTCCCAGACTCAGTATGTGTCCCTTTTCCTCTCAGGGTGGATTCCTTCCGGCTGGGGCTTGAGGGCCGCGGCCGCAGCGCCTTTCCCCGCCGCCGCCCCACTCACTACACGGTGACCCTACCAGACTCCTGCTTCCCCTCGGCCAAGCCCCCGCTGCCGCCCCCTGCCTACCACTCCTGCTCGGAAGACAGCGGCTCCGACGTCTCCAGCATCTCCCACCCCACTTCGCCAGGCAGCAGCAGCCCCGACATCTTCCTGCGGCCCCTCTCCCCACCTGAGCCCCACCGGCAACGTGGAGCTTGGGGCCCGGCTGGCGGGAGAGAGCTCACCACTCACTACCCCCAGCTACTGTTGCCCCCGGGGTACTTCCCGGCGGGGCGGTATGTGATGGTGGCCGAGAGCCACCAGCCACCGGGCAAGTGGGAGCTATGCCCCGTGGCCTACGATGAGGAGGGGGCGCCCCCGCGCTACCAACGGCTGGTAGCCGCCCACAGCCGCATCAGGCGCACGCCCTCTCTGAAGGACAGCCCCGCGGGCTGGGGTCGCAGTAAGATGGCCGTCTCCGAGGAGCTCAGGTGCTGGCACGAGCGTGCACGCCTGCGGAGCGCTCGTCCCCACTCGCTGGACAGGCAAGGGGCGTTCCGCGTCAGGAGCCTGCCCCCAGGGAGAGAGGGCTTCCCTCGAGCCCTGGGAGCGCGGACACAGGTACGGCTGCTCTGGGGGGACACCCAGGCCAGGCAGGACTGCCTTCCCAGGCTGGCCTGCTGGGGAGGGCTGTGATTCTAGCAGGCCCAGGAGCGGAGAGACATAATGCCTGCAGCCTGGTGGCCGGGTAATCCCTAGCTAGGAAGACAGGTGAAAAATCATTTCCTCGTGGCTTTGGAAGGCCCTCCTGATTCCCTGAGGCACCTCCTAATTTTGCCTGCTGCGTCTAGCCCAGAGCACATACCGATATACACTGGTGGGGATGATCCTTGGTGGATAGCTGAGATTTTTTTTTTTCCCTAATGGCTCCGCAGATAAACCACAAAGCCGATAAGCCTCTGTTCATAATGGAAAGCGCAGTCTAAATTTGGTGTCTGAAATTACCACTAGATCTCCTGATTTTGGAGGGCCCAGGGTAAAAGGAGCATGTGGAAATGAGTTTGCAGAAACAGAACCTGGGAATGCCTGTCGGCCAACTTCCGCCATGACCCCCCACCCCCACACTGAGAAGCAGGGTGGCATAATAATTAAAAGCACAGACCCTCAAACCCCAGTCCTGCTACGTACAAACTACATGACTGGACAAGTTACTTAATCCCTCTGAGCCTGTTTACCCTGCTGTAAAATGGGCTTAGTAAAGTGGCTACCTCATAGGGCTCTTGAGAGGTTTAAGTGAATTAATATATGTAAAATGCGTAGAGCAGTGACAGTACATAGTAGGTACTAGACAGTGATATTCTCATCATCCAGGTCCCCAGAAGCCAGGCCCCAGGCTGGTGGGTGGCAGATAGGATACAGCACCCTGACATGAAGCATGGTAACCACCCTGGTTTTTATGTGCTGAGTTTCTTCATTCAGGAAGTGGGATTAACACACATGAATCCTTTCTTTATTCTTTCTCCCTGGTACAGAGGGCTCTGCAGGGGACATGCTCCAGAAGTTACCAACAGGCTGCTTCTGTGAGACCCAATATTCCCAGCAGGCCTAGCCAGCTGCACGTCCCTCCCCGACCCATCGGGTCTTGGAGCTTGGAGCTGCAGCTGGCATCCTGGGCCTGGCAGCAGCCCTGGCCCCAGTCCCAGGCCACACCCTCCAGCTGACATGTTTTTCCTTCGTTCAAGCTTGGACCTGCCTTTGGCCCAGGCCCAGCCCTTCTCAACCTGCCAGACAAGGAGGGTGACGAGAAGTGAGCCCAGAAAAGGGGGAGAAGGAGAAGCTCAGGGTGCCCATCACACCCCAAAGGAACCTAGAGTGAAAGTTGGATAAAGGGTGATCCACGGGGGTCAATGAGCCTCCTGGTGGGGCAGGGGCTGAGCGCCAGAGCTGGTGCCAGCATGGATCAGCTTCCTGAAGAGACAGCATGGTGTAGCTGCACTTGCTGTCCGGACCGCTCTACTTGGTTCATTCACCCACCTCTACTTTCTTCCTGGCCCTGACAGGTGCCCACAGTGTGTGTGCTGCGGAGGTCGCCCGAGGGAGCCCCCATGCAAGTCTTTGTGCCTGAGAATGGAGAGATCATCAGCCAGGTGTAACAAGGCCAGGTGTCACCCTGTGCTCTAAGTGCCTGGACCTCACTGTTGGAAAAGACTATTTCATAGCAGGGCCGGGCTGAGACCCACCCTATGCTTGAGCATCTCCCTTCAGCTCCCCACCCCCATCGCAGGTCGATGACCTGGAGCTGAAACTTTTTTTTTTTTTTTTTTTAAACAGTTTTGGTTCCAAAGCCCTGGCCTGAGGATTTATATGTGTTTTGTCCTAAGATCGATGTAATATGATCGTGCTTTATCCCCCCAGAGACTGGCTGGCCTGCTAGACTTGAGGCCTTGCCTGTCTGACTAACAGCATTTGTCTCCTTATGTGAGACAAGCGGCAGGGGGTGCGCGAAGTGCCGAGGGCCAGGTTGAGGTCCCTCAAACCTTCTATGCAGTGGTTTGATGAACTTCCCCAGAGAACAGCCCCTGGCCCTCCTGTCCCACTGTTGCTGGAGGCTGGGCGTGATAACACGCTGGTGCACAGGACTCTTCCCATTTCCCAGGGCCTGGGTACCATAGCCTGGGCTGGCGGAGAATCTCCTCCCCCTTTTATGACGTGCTCTGTGATGCACACACCAAGTGGTAGGTTATAAAGCTCAGTACATCCTGGTGAAACCTTATCTTCCTGGACTCTGTTATTTTCCCAGCCTCATAAACCTTTAGGGGCCTCCATCACTGTGCCCTGTCTATGCCCTGTTAGCTCCCAGCATCTACTCGGACCCTGAGATTGAGGCTTCACCAGATTGTAGCATTCAAGGGCTGGGCTGGGGACTGGCCTGCGGTGTAGATTGGTGGAGAGCAACCCACCCTTTGACCACTATCTCTGGGTGTCACATGGACTTGCAATCTCACTGCACCCTAACATCTTTTCATCGTAGTCCTAGAAATCAACAAACCAAAAACCTTACCGATATTTTTGGAAAGACACCACTTTTTGTGGCACGTTCTCAGAGAGAGGGGCCACTGCTCCTACACCCCTCCCAGTTATGATTCTGCTCGGAGTTTGTGGATTTCTCTTGAAAGAGGGAACGTCCTTATTTATGCAAACAGAAATACTCATTGCTGAGCGCTGGTAAGGAGCCCTGGTGGTACAGTGGTTAAAGCACTTGACTGCTAACCGAAAGAGCCATGGTTTGAAACCACCAGTGGCTCAGCGGGAGAAAGATGTGGCAGTACTTAGAGATTTACAGCCTTGGAAACCCTGTGAGTCGGAATCGACTCGATGGCAGTGGGTTTGGGTTTTTTTGTTTTGGAGTGCTGGTGAAATGCTGGTTTTTCTTACAGGGCATAAATTAATTGTCCCAGCTGCCCAGGGGCAAGCCTGGAAACTGCCTGGGCTAAGACCATCTGATAAAAAATCAAAACCAAACCAAATCCATTGTGGTCGAGTTGATTCCGACTCATAGAGTCCTGGGTTCTCTTGAACTAGGGCCTTCTTTGCTGCCAGGTCAGATTCCCAAGTAGGGATCCTGCTTCAATAAGAAAGCAACTGCTTTGAGGCTAGGAGAGGGCAGGGAGAGCTGAATTCTGGTTTTGCCCATGCAGAACCCTCTCCCCTCCAAGTCCCCTGGACTTCTTGGACAGACAGTATGACTTAAGGCACTAAGAACTTTGATGCCCAGCCCGAACAAGGCACAGCTCTCCCAACTGGAGAGAAAGAGGGATTGCCCAAGGGTGCAGAGGGAAGAACAAGGTGGCCCAGCAGAAGGAGGGAGAGAGAAGCCTTACCACATCCTGCACCTCCTCCATCCCTTTTTGGGTCAACTACTACCCATTATGTTCTCGTGACCTACTTCGGCTGCTGTTCTCTCCAGTTGGCCTGTCTCTGAGCTCCTTTCCCCAATGTTCAGCCATCCGCTCTCCTGGTGCCCAGTGCTCCTTGGGCTGAGCCAGGAGATGTCTGGGGACCAGCCTCCCCAGCTGAGGGGCCTTTATATTAACTTATTGGTCCTATCTGACACCCAGTGCTGTTGCAAAGTGGCTGTGTACTCAGCTGCAGGGCCGGAACTGTGTGGCTTTTAGTGCCAAATGCTTCAATAAAGTCTGTTCTTCGTGATTGGCTGAGCTGATGATGACAGGGTTTTTGTGCCAAGTTTCCTGAGCAGAGGCTCTGCCCAGCCCATTAGGTGCACGCCCAAGGTGGGAAAATCACCTGCCTCTCCAGCTGGTCCATCCAGGCCCCTGTGGAGTGCGGGGGATGGCTGAGGTGGTGGAGGGAGGACCTCAGGTTCTCTGCTTCCCTGGCAGGATGGAAGCAAGCTCCACTCCTGTCAAAAATCCTTATGGTCTCCAGGCCTGAGGAGCTGGGCTCAGAGGTCACTTCCCCAACAGGGACTTTCTCTTTTTTTTTTTCAATTTAAAAATGCAAGTTTTTTTTTTTTGGTCAAAATATACATAGCAAAGCATACACCAGTTCTACAATTTCTATATGTACAATTCAGTGACATTGATTACATTCTTCACATTGTGCAACTATTCTCACTATCCTTTTTGAAGTTATTCCACCACCTTTTCCAGTTTATTCCACCACTGGAATAATTAAGAGAAACTCACTGGCAGCCTCAGGAGGTCTGGCTTCTGTGGGGCCAGGCTATGCAGTGGTTAGAGACGAGGCGTGGCTCAGTCTCCAGCACCGTAAGGCTGTGTCTGGAGGTCTTGACTGCCTCATGAGAGTGGAGGCTCTCATGAGAAACAGCCCCTCCCCCAAAGCTGGAACACTGGGAACTGATCGCGTGGGGAGGAGGAGGGGCCTTCCACAAGGCCTCTCCCGCTTTCTCTGGGGGAGGTTACCTTCAGCCTCTCCCACCACCAGGGGTCCTCAGATCACTACTGAGCCTGCTCTACAGGGGCTGCTGCAGGGTTGGGGGCACAGCGCCCCCTGGAGCCACACTGCCCAGGAGAAGCGTGCGCCCTGGATCTGTGAGGTGACAACCGTGTCAGGTAGAGGGGCCCTGCCCGCCTATCCCCTTCTACAACAAAGGAAGGGGCCAGGCGTGAAGGGCTTGGCCAGATGGCCACGGGTAGGGACGACTCCAGCCCTGCCCTGGGGGCTGGAACCTGGAGACTGGGAATCTGTGGGCTTCAGGGGCCTGGCTGACTTAAGCCTGGAGGTGCTCCATTCTTGGAGGAAGTGGGCTTCAAGGGGAGGCAGCTCCAGGGGTCTCTGGAGAGGTTGTGAACACCCTGATCTCATATTCTGAATATCTTTGACTTACCTATGAATTGTAGGGAATGGGATGCTTGGTTTTGTATTTTAGACCATTGGGATGAGTTAGGCCCAGGGCAGCACTGACCAAGTGTCCACATGATCCCAGGGGATGATCTGTCCGAGGAGGCAGCTCCCCAGGAACAGGACAGATGGAGACCAACTAAAAGGGACCGTCCTCGCCGAGACGGGGCTGGGTGTGGGTGCGCAGCGTGGCTCTCCTAAGAGTGGCGTGCAGTGAGGTGTGCCCGTTTGGGGACCTGGAGCTCAGGGCAGAGAGAGATCTATGTTGTGCAGCCATTTCTTCCTGGTCCACAGACAAGTTTCCCTGGGCTGTGTCTGGGAGGGGCAGACATTTGGGGGCTCTTAACCCCTACCATATAGGATGGACATGGGACTATGAATTGGGAAATGAGGACAGAAGCCTCTGGAAGGAGGGGGTAGGATTTTAGTGATAAGACCCCCAGAGGGAGAGGGATGAATATTGACCTGGAGAAGCCACCTGTGAGTCTTAGATCCCCCCCTCGAAGGGACAGTCCTGAGCGGAATACTTCCAGGGCCCTTCAGAGGGTCCAGTGAATGAAATGGGAGATGGGAAGGAAATGGAAGCTGACAGTGGGACCCTGCACCCCGGCCCTGCTCAGCCAATTCCTTTTCTCACAAATGGCCTGGGTCTGCCTCCTGCAGCTTCACCCCTTGAGTGAGCGGAGACTCTGCCTCCCCAGGAAGGAGCCTCACACGTGGGCCTGGCTCTGCTCTTCTGGAAAGCTGCAGGTTGCTGCTCCAAGCGTGCAGATGAATCTGTATCCCAGGCAGCAACAACTAAGCAGAGAAACCTTCAGACCGTCCATTTCCCATGTCTCTTGGAAGTCAAACTTAATGGGTGAGCAGCTGGCCCTGGACCACGCTGTCTCTCAACTCAGTGCTGTGGCTTGGAGGTGGTGGTGATGGCCTGGCCCTTACTGACATGACACTTGATGGGCAGTCTGCCCACTTTTGGCTGCCCTTTTCATAGCTCTAGTCTCTGCGTCCCATGCCTTTCAGACCCGTCTCCATGAGAAGCCTGAAGGTGGGCCAGATACAGGATATTGCCTGGGGCTTTGAGTTAAACCTCGCCCAGCTGACAGCCCTTCAGGGGAGCCAGGGTAGATCTTTAGATAGCACCTATACTGCAACAACTCCTCAACTGATATCTCTCGGACCCTGATTTCCAGACTTGCTAATCTAACTGCCTATTGATAGCTCCACTTTGATGCCTGGTGGGCATTTCAAATTCAGCATGTGCAAAACTGAACTCCTGCTTTTACCCCAGCCCCCAACCTGCTCCTGCCAATAGTCTTCTCTATCTCAATTAATGGCAACTTAGTTCTTCCAGTTTCTCAGACCAAAACTCATGATTTCCGTCTTTCTTTCATGCCCCACATCCAGTTCATCAGCTATTTCTATTTGTCCTACCTTCATAATAGACACCAACTCTGACCACTCACTCCTTGCCTCCTCCTCTGTGCCCCCTGGTGTGAGCCCCCATTATCTCTTGCCTGGATGCCTGGATTACTGTCACAGCTGCCCAGTTAGTCTCCCTGCTTCTGCCTACACCGTGGCATGCTCTGCTCCACCTCTACCTGCACGTTGGTTTATTCTCAACTAAACAGCCAGAGTGATGTCATTAAACAAAAGCCAGATCACATCACTCCTTTCCTCAAAACCCTCTCAGGGCTCCCATCTGGTTCAGAGCAGAAGCCAGCATCCTTTCAATAGCCCACACAGCCCTCATGACCTTTACCTCCCTGCTTCA